TCCCTCGAGTAGTAGATGCCATCTACTACTTAGTTTTCTTAGCTATAAAGTGGGAAGAGTAATAGTTCCTATCTCGTATTGTGAGGTTAACATCATGCATGTAATCCCTGGTCCATGTCCAGAGACTGTGTCCTCCATGCAGGACTTCTCTCTGGCTCTGAGACTTCTCTTAGAGGCAATTCCAGATCCTCACTGCTCTCCTTAAGCATCTACCTCAACTTTGCCCCAGATTTCTAGGTGATCACTCCTGCATCAGAGGAAAGGGAGATGCCACTAGGCCTGTCTTAACCTAGAAATTCATGGCATACGTCCTTTCCCTTATTTTCCTCTTCAGAGGAAATTGCACTCAGTTCCAGGGCCGCCTTCCACTGTTTTCTGCACCTTCGCAGTGTTGAGTCACGTCCTTTCTGCTGCCATTTTAGCATATGAATATGTTGATATTTCTCATCCACGTCTTCTCCAGCTACCAACATAACATACAGTGTTTAAGAGCAAGAGCATATATATCCTGGTCTTAAATCCTACCCACTCACTAGATGAATGATCCTGGGAAAGTTAACTGTGCCTGTTTCCTTAGCTACATAATGGTAATAATAATAGCTCTTATCTCGTATTGTGAGGTTAATATGCATGTAGAGCCTTTAGTACAGTGCCTGGCACAAAGTAGTCAGTAAGTGTTAGCTGCTGCCATCATTTTTTAGTAAGTTATTTTGTTGTCATCATCCTCCTCAATCCCTCAATCCTTTCACAAGCCAGGCTTGGAAAGAGTAGTCGAGAATAGACCACCTTCAACTCCCTACCTCCCATTTCCTTCTTGAGCCATAGTAACCTAGTCCCCCATTTCACTGAAATTATCACAAGTCATTACTCTGATTGCTGAATTAAGACAACAGACTCTTTGTGACTGGGTCCTACTTGCCAATTTCCACTACTTCCTACTTCTTGAAACCCATTACTGCAAATTCTTTGGCATATTTCCTGACAATGAAGATTTATAACAGAAGTGAGGAGCTTAGAGTATGACCTGAAAATCTTACTGAATATTTACAGTTTTTTCTCGATTATTTTAAATGTATAAACAATTTAATTAAAACTGAAATTTATGAAAGTAATACATTTATTATAGAAAATATAGATAAATCATTTTTGTGAGGCACTATAGTATAATATGGTTAAATGCTTGGGCTGTAGAATCTTACTGTCTAGATTTAAATCCTGACTCCATCATATACTCCCGGCTCTGACCTTGGTCAAGTTATAATTTCTCTGAGCTTCTTTTCCCCCTCTGTAAAATAGGGATAACAGTACTTGTCTCATGGAACTGTAAGGGTCAAACAAGAAAATTTACACAAAACATAGATTATAGACCTGCCACAAAGTAAGTACTCAGAAAATGTTGGACATAACCCTTTTTTAACCCTTTTTTCTTGAAACATGCTCAGCCTTATTTCACCTTTCCTTGATGCCTAAGTCTTATTATAAACATTAATTACTTTACTCTCCTATAATAAGAAAGCCAGGGTTATTGTAAGATGTGTGTATATGTGGAGGTGAGATGTCAGTCTTGACCCTACTTCTCCAAGAACTCCATGGACCTTTTAATGGGAGAAGAGGAAGGACAATAAAGTATGAACTTTGAATATTTTGGTTTAAGGACTGTATTATGACCTTACATTCCTTTAGCGCTTTGCCCCTGTCACAGAATGTGTGCATCTCATATCTCAAGTGAGACAAATCCAGTTAGGTAAAGTAAGCCCTCTGTTTAAATTGCATTTATCATCATTTACCTTACAAATGAGAAGGGGAAATAAGAGTAGAATAAGGGCCTAGATCATAGAGCTAATTACTTAGCTGAATCTTTCCTAGTATCCAAGTCACCACCCAGTCTTCTTTCCTCTAACTCCAGGTGTCTCAGCTCACTCCTTTTATAACCAAGTCTAGATGAGGTGAACATCCCATAAGTAGGAGATGATAGCATCCTTTTAAGAGAGGTATCCCCATTGATCTTTCAAGTTGACATACGTGCTGGTGGTCCTTTTGTTGACCAATCTCATCCCATAAACCTCTCGCTGTGAACTAGCATCTTTGTGTTCTGCTTGCCCTGGCCCATAGGTGGGTTCAGAAACCAGGCATGTTGTCCTTATCAGCCCAAGCCCTTGTGCAACATTTTCTCAGAGAGAAAAGGTGCTGTACATGTACATGGGCACTTCCTGCTAAATCCTAATGACTCTCTTAGGTACATGGCTTATATTTTTGCCTTTGTCTAAGCTCAAATTCCATTCTGCTTTATAAGTTAAATCTCTCTACTGTTTTTCTCCCTTGGGTACACTGTACCATAATGTGGAAGGCATTAAAAGGTAAAAAGGAGCCCTCAACACTACACATCGAGTGTATTACAAGAGCTTGATACATGTTAATGAATTCTTCCAGTGTTGCAAGGAGTTAAATAAGGACCTGAAGTGTGAGTTAACAGCTTGCATATCAGAGAGAACTGGTATCCCTAATGTATTTCAGACATTAAAAATGAAATCCAAGAGTTTTAAACTTAGGCAGGTGGCACTTAAGAGGAAGGATCCCAAGGCCCCTCCTTGTGCAAGTCTGACAGAAGTGAAACAGTGTTTACAGCTTCACCTTTGATGCAAACACTTGTCTCAGACAGGGAGTCACATCCAGTGGGAAGAGACTGATCTCTTTTATGCTTCATTGAGGACACATTGTGTGAGGAAAGCACTGATGAAAGAGTCTATTTAAGGTCCAGAAGAATGATTGATTGCACCTTTAAAATGACAAATCTGATCCTGTTATTCCCCTGCTTAAAAATTCCCTGTTGCATTCTCTTCACAGGATAGTATCCAGAGGCTGTAGTAGGCCACACTCAGGGTCCTTGAATAGCTGCTTTTCTACATTGTCTCAGCGGTCTTCCCTTGTCACTGCCTGACAGGGACCTCATTCATAAGAGACCCAAGTTATATGTCACCTTTGCTACCTTTCACCCATGTTGCTCTCTCCTGTGCTCCCAGGGCATTTTGTTTACTTACCTATCTAAGAGCAAGTGTCAACACATTATAATAAATCCATGACTCGCTCTACCATTAGTCAAGGATGGGAATTAAAATCTTTGTAGCCTTCCTGGTGCCTAGCAGTCACCAGTCAAGTTTACTACTGGTTTACTGCAGGAGAAGTCCCTCAAAGTACTATTAGTTAATCACATCCCATGTTCACCTTCCTTGCATCTTCACAAAAGTTCTGCTATTCCTGATTATTTACACTTCACAAGTGATTTGTTTCCTTTTCTGTCCAGGCAGCATAATTCGTTGTATGAGGCGCCTGGAAGAACTACTTCGACAAATGTGTCAAGCAGCAAAAGCCATTGGAAACACTGAGCTGGAAAATAAATTTTCAGAAGGTCAGTATCCAGCCCATAAGCTTTTTCTAATAATTTAGTTAAATCCTGTTGAGACTTGAGCTCTTGACCACAACCTAGGAGAACATTTTCAGATGCTCTTCACTGGATTGCCATGAAGGGCCATGTAGTAGTGTTCAAAGAAAATATCTCTGTGTGTGTGTGTGTGTGTGTGTGTGTGTGTGTGGGAAAAAGTTTGTAAATGAATATATATAAAATCTCAAAATATTTATTGTGCACTTATTGTGTGCCAGACATTGTTTTAAGCACCAGGGAATACAGCAGTGAACAAAAAAGATACAAACCCCTGCCTTAATGGGGCTCACATTCTAGTGCAGGGAGGTGGACAGTAAACAAGTCAACAATTAAAATATATCAGGTAGCAATAAAAACAAAGGAAGAGACAGTAGGGAATTGGAGGATGGATACGATGGCCTAGGGTCCCCTACTCAGAAGGTGGCATTTAGGTCCTTCATAGACACTTGATATACTTAAGCAACAACAAGAGGCCAGTGTGGATGGAGCACAGCTGAACAATGAGTAGAATAGTAGGGGTTGGAGGAAGAAAAGAAATGGTCATGTAGCTCCCAGCCCTCAGCTTTTTCCTCTGAAATGATTGGAGGTTTTGAACACAGGAGTGGTGTGCTCTGACTTGGGTTTCACAAGGCAGTTTTTGCTGTTGCATCACAGGCAAGTCTGTAGATTAGCAAGGGGGAAGCAGGAAGACCAGATCAGGAAAGAATGGCTAGACCAAGGTGGTAGTAACGGGGGGAGGCATACATGCTTGCAAATAATTTCATTCCATCTGAATGCTGGCCAAGAGAAAGGACTATGAGTTAAAACATCAAAGAAGAGCAGCCACATAGTTGCTCCGAGTTACCAGCTGCTCACAGTCAAACCTGGTGATTCTGCTGGCAACTCAGTGCCTTAAGAAGAAGCTTATGAAAGCTGCTTATATCTTCAACATTGTTAAAGAGAGGCAGACCTATTTAATCACTCCAGGGTTAAGTCTAGTTTTGTAAACTTCTATATGATAAAATGTGTTTGTCCTTAGTCCAGAAAGAATTTCACATGGTAACTGAAATATAGTGCCTTCCGTTGCCAGCTGAAAAATTCATGCTTTGGGGTCAACTAACTTCTTGGACAGCCTAGTCCCTCTGGTCTGGTCTTTCTGAATAATTTTAGACACCCACGCACGCACGGGGTACTTTAGATTCAAGAGTCATGAGAACAGGGGTCTGGTTTCTAAGTTTCCCATCTCTCAGAGGTGGCTGTGAACTCCTCTAGGTGTCCTTCAGGCAAGCAAGGTTTTGTATTTTCCAGGCTTGCCCTCTCACCAAATTTAATCAGGATTGTTGTGCTGTCTTCAAAACCCCAGGGGAGAAGAATTACATTCTTTGTGGTCTTGAGAATTTAAACTGAATTTTCTTTTCTCTTAGGAATCACCAAAATCAAGAGAGATATTGTGTTTGCTGCCAGCCTCTACTTATAAAGAGTCAGCTAAAGGAATGTGGGATTTTAAATTGTTCACCACCTGTCTGATGTATTATATTTAAATCAAGCATCATTCTAAGAAAGCATATTACATACACAGTTGTACATAAGCATTACATTTTTTTAATAAAAAAATGTACAGGTGGGGCATTTGTTTTAGTGAAAGGCTTGAAATTTTTTGTAATGAACTTAGAGCTATTAGATAACCATTGTGTTAAATGTAACTATATACACACAGGTAAAGTGGGCATCCAAGAGGTACAGTAGCAGCAGTCCCCTTAAAGGCTTGAAGGATGCATCCTCTTGCCTTCTGGTTGCAATCATTTCCTTTAGAAAGCAGGCCAGCTTCATATGGGCACTCTGCCACCTTCAAGGTTGGTGACTGTTCCGATAGTGATTCCCTGTCGTTGGTGTCTCATGCAGAGTTGTATGAGAGTCCTCCTCTTTTCTTTCTTTAAAAGGAGAATTTCTCTCCTTGAAGAAATCTGATACATATACAGCCTGTATAGAACAGGTAACATTTAGAATGGGGCAAAGTATTTAATGATACAATTTTAAATAAGTTTAAAAACCATATACAAAGTTGCAATAAGCCGTGTGCAAAAAATAAATATAAACAAAAGGATATACATTACAGGGTACAGATTAAGGGTATGAATAAATTAGTGGCTAACAGGAATTTTTGTTAAGGACATTCTGAGAGTTGTTCTGTTATGTACTGGGCAGATGGCTTCACTCTGCTAGCCCTTAATGAAAGTGTCATTCCTCGTGTAAATTAGTTTTGTTTTGTTTTGTTTTTTTCAATTCATACTAAAAAGAAAACTTTATAGCCAGAGCTTTTCACAATTAAAAAATTTAGTAAATTTTTAAATAACTTTTGCAAAGAGAGTAAGTAACGTAGGTATTATTTGCTATCTATCTATCCTAAAATGACTTTTAATAACATTGGGGTCCTTACCCAGTAGCAATTATGGAGCCACATTCTCTGCCTTAGCATACTTTTCTCATTGGGACTTTTCTACTTATTTATCCAAGTGTTTCTCAGGATGTAGGCTGCTGCCCTGTATACTTACAACTAATATTGCAACCAGAGCTCCTTGAATGAGTCCAGTCAACACATCACTCCAGTGGTGTTTGTAATCAGAAATTCGAGAAAGGCCCACATAAATGGACGCAGCAACAAGACCAAATTGCAGTGTAGGGCGTAAGAGTCTTGCCCAGTCTCCCTTCATCCTGGCTTGAAGATAAAGCTAACAGAAAAGATAAGAATAAAGAAAAGAGCTTATTAACATACCAACTGGAGACTATGTTTTATATTAATTATCACCACATTGCTAAAGGGTTGATGTTTAAAATGACAGTCACGAAATATTAATATTCATTAAATAATCTGTGATTTTACTATATATGGAACAGGGCTTTAGGCAAGCATTCTTATACTCATTAATACCTAAAAATTAATCCCAAAACAAAACCAAAAGGATAAAAAATTTAAAAAATAAAAACTACTGCCCTAGTAACATTAATTTATTACTTAGACCACTCTTCAAATTATGAACAAGGTAAGTGTTTCGGACCTTCTAGGATTTCAGGGGGCAGCTCCTCACCTTCTAGTTTGAATTACAACTGTCATTAGTGTAGAATCTTGGGAACAACTGCTAGCATTCTGAGCACAGGTTGCCCTTACCCTGGGCCAGGCTACTGTATTTTCTACCCAGCCATCTAGGAACTAAGTTTGCTTAATTCACCCAAACAATTTACTTGAGAGCTCCTCTCGCCTCAAATTATTTAACAGAGCAACTGAGACTAAATAAATAATCTGTATTTATAAGTAAATACCATAATCTGCCTAAGTAAATTACAGTTTGTAGTTTAGTCCTGATCCAGTAAAGGAGTCTATTGTTTCAATAGCACCTGTACCCTTTAAGTTCTATGACTTTTCTAATCAGACCTGAGAATCTTGCCTTTGCCATTGTCAGCCTGCCTCTGACTTCGGGTACATCCCTAAAGATTGTAATGTAGAATAAATTTGGAATAGTTTCCTATGAACTCCTTTCAGCCAATATGGTCTCATTTTTGTAAAAAAAAAAAAAATTTTCCTAACTTCTATCCAATAAGAATATACTTCTTTTTTTTTTTTTTTTTTTTTTTAATACACAATGTATTTATTTATTTATTTATTTATGGCTGTGTTGGGTCTTCATTTCTGTGCATGGGCTTTCTCTAGTTGTGGCAAGTGGGGGTCACTCTTCATCGCGGTGCGCAGGCCTCTCACTATCGCGGCCTCTACTGTTGCGGAGCGCAGGCTCAGTAATTGTGGCTCACGGGCCCAGTTGCTCCATGGCATGTGGGATCTTCCCAGACCAGGGCTCGAACCTGTGTCGTCTGCATTGGCAGGCAGATTCTCAACCACTGCGCCACCAGGGAAGCCCAAGAATATACTTCTTAATATTCATTTTTAAAAACTCTGCTCAGTAATTTATGGCTCATATACTTAATTGTTTTCTGAGGACTGCATTTAATTATGTGGCTGTACCCAATGATGCTGCCTATTTAAAATAGATACACAAATCCATTTCCAGTTCTTTGGGCACTGTTGTGTGTGTTCAGTTCTCAGCACCTGGCAAAGCCCCAGAGGTTGTCTAATTTTATCAAGTACTTTATAGTATAAACATCTAACCCTAAAAGAGCATACCAGTTGTTTAACTGAGTTGGACTCCTTAGCTGGCTGAAGTGCTACTGGCTTTCTGTAGAGCTCCTCTCCCCTTTTTTTTGTTTGCTGTTGTTGAAGCTATAAAAACGTAAGGAGTAAGAGGCTTGTCTCAAGATTCTACAGTTGGGAAGATAGTTGGTTCTGGTTGGGGCAAAGTTGACATGTGCCAACTGAAGCCCAATTAGGTACCACAGCCATGCCAGATAAGATTCACCTCATTAGTTCTATTTTTATTGGAAACTTTTTGTTCATTTTAAGGAGGACAGTTCCTTGACTAGGGCTGAAGCCAAGTTTCATATATAAAGTTTAACTGACCCTCTTCTGGTTATTCTTAAGCTACCTTTTCAGATAAGGGTTAAAGGCATGGGTTATTTAGACTATAAAAACATATACCTAAGAATTACAAATACTTACATGAATGCAGACATCTTAGGGAGAACTGCACCCATCCCTGCTAGCGACATAGCAATAAAAAAAACCAGAAAGCAAAAAAATACTCTAAAATGGACGTAAAGCTAAGTCCTAACCTAAAGGAAACTCAGAGACAGGACTTTCAAGGCTCTTCCTCACTTAAGATTCTAAAACCCCTCTAACAATACTTTCCTTTGAAAGAACCCTGAATTTGACTCTAGGTAGCCTGCAGACATCTGTTAAGTATTAATTTGCCCCAATCTCTTCTTCAATATCCCTGTGAAAATAACATTCACTTTTGGATCAGTAATCAAATAAGTTGCAATATACTTGAGGTGAACCCTTTACCCTCTAAGTATTTAGTTTCTTCTTACACGTTTACCCAAGTACAGATGGGCCCCTCGGTGTGGATCCAGAGGTCACTCCCCCTGTGGGAGCTCTGGGATTCCCCAGTTGTGATCATACACCTAACCTTGTGCTCCACTCTGTGTTCTGGCCCTTCTGCTGACTAATGGCCGTATGGCCCGAGTGCAGGCTCTGGTCACAGAACAGTTCTCAGCTCTGGGTGAGGTAGGTTAATTGAGTGTGCTTCCTATATGCCTGTTCTGTGTTTCCCTGGTTCCAGGGTACTCAGTGTAGCTCTACAAAAGCTGGGCACCACCTCTAGCCCTGCTCTTCCCTGGGAAGACTCTTCCATTTCAGTAGACCCCAAGGCGATAAACATTGAGTTTCTTGAACCTTGGGTCAACTGAGTTCCACAGTTGACATGCCCTGAACAACTCCAGACCTCAACAACTCCCCTCCCGTGTTTCCAGCCAGAAGCCTGTCCGACACGAGCAGGTCCAACAAAGCACACCGTGCTGTCTTTTTGGTGGCTCTGCGTCCTCATCCTTTCTCAGCTTCTGCAGTGCAAATCTTTTAAGCTCCCTCTCTCTGGAGGCGCCAGAGACTTGGCTTCCTCCTACCACTCATTTAACTGCTTTCCAGAATCTTTACCTCTTGCTTATTGTCTCGTTTTCCATTCTTTGACTTTGTGGATTTATAACTTTTTAAATTCTACTCCTTGTCCTTTGAGAGGGGAGAAGAAAGTATGTATGTTTCATTAAAAAGAAGTCTCCATTCCTCCATCTTTCCCTGTCTCGGAGGAACTGACTATCTGATGCTTCTCAGCACTGTTATATTAGAAATAGATACAGGGACAGCTCATGCTTTAATGCCAGAGCTGATAATAAAAAGGCTCTGTAGGTCCCTGCCTTTGCAACCTCCACTGTTCCCCTTCTTCCCACACATGCATATGTTAATCACATGTGCCCTAAACCCATTAGAGGTAAGGCATTCAATTGCTTATCTCTTAAGATTTAGAACTTACAGAACTCCATATCCAATGTTGTATATGGTACCAGATTGGTTCAGTGGCAGCATCTACAACTTTCAATTCTCCCAGGCTTCCCTGGTGGCACAGTGGTTAAGAATCCGCCTGCCAATGCAGGGGACACAGGTTCAAGCCCTGGTCCGGGAAGATCCCACATAACAGCAGAGCAACTAAGCCCGTGCGCCAGTACTACTGAGCCTGCGCCATAGAGCCCACGAGCCACAACTACTGAGCCCATGCACCCTAGAGCCCGTGAGCCACAACTACTGAAGCCCGTGCACCGTAGAGCCCATGAGCTGCAACTACTGAAGCCCGCACGCTGCAACGAAGAGTAGCCCCCGCTCTCCGCAACTAGAGAAAGCCCACGTGCAGCAACAAAGACCAACGCTGCCCAAAAATAAATAAATAAATAATTTTTTAAAAAAACTTTCAATTTTCCCTCTGGGGGAAACTGCTGATCCACAGACAAAATTGAAGGGGACCACATAGCCCTGCCTTATTTTCTGGGAGGGCACTGAGTATGACTTATGACAGGCTTGACCTAGAAATCTGCTGGGCTGTAATGTGCCCTCTGGGATTTACACTGGGAGTAAGAAGGAGTTCTCTATTTTCAGAAGTTGTAGAAATGGCACCTAATGGATAAATGATAGGCTACTTGCAAACTAAACAGGAAGCAAAAGCTATGGTTAGATAAGAATGAGGCATTTAATAGAAAAGAATGAAGCAGCCACGGTGTGGAGTGGCAGCCACACTAAAAAAACAGGTGGTCAATGAGACATGGAAAAAGTTCTGTTCCTGGTGGTGTGCCTGTTCTAATCCATGTATGTCTTTACTATAAACCATCCTCTCCTCTAGGAGATAATACGTAAGTCAGCTGCTTACAGCCAAAAGATAAAAAAGACGCAGACCTACTAGAGAATGGACTTGACACGGGGAGGGGGAAGGGTAAGCTGGGACCAAGTGAGAGAGTGGCATGGACACATATACACTACCAAAGGTAAAATAGCTAGTGGGAAGCAGCCGCATAGCACAGGGAGATCAGCTCGGTGCTTTGTGACCACCTAGAGGGGTGGGATAGGGAGGGTTGAGAGGAAGGGAGGGAGATGCAAAGAGGGAGGAGATATGTGGACACTTTGTTATAAAGCAGAAACTAACGTACCACTGTAAGGCAATTATACTCCAATAAAGATGTTTAAAAGAAAAAAAAAAGCTTTGGGCTTCCCTGGTGGCGCAGTGGTTGAGAGTCCGCCTGCCGATGCAGGGGACACGGGTTCGTGCTCCCGGTCTGGGAAGATCCCACATGCCGCGGAGCGGCTGGGCCCGTGAGCCATGGCCACTGAGCCTGCACATCCGGAGCCTGTGCTCCGCCACGGGAGAGGCCACAACAGTGAGGCCCGCGTACTGCAAAAAAAAGCCAGTTAACAGCCTCCTCTCACTGTGTGTTTAACCAAAATCCTGTTTTATTTTTAAATTTGAATTTGTGACTCAAATGATAGTTTTACTTTTTAAAAAGGTACGTTTCAAATGAAAAGGAAAACAGGCTGTTTGTACACCTGGGTTCAAACAAGGAGAAAAACTTAGAAAAACAAAATCCCACATCAGAACAAACATACTAAAATGTCCGCTGAAGGCACCGTTACAAGAGAACTGTAGCACTAGGCATGGGATTTACTTCTATGACTTCTTTTCTGCAAACAGTACAAGGGTGTGAGCCCCTAAGCCAAATGACTCATCTATCATTCTCTCAGGCCCAT